AATTTTTTGAAAAATTTTACCTCGGATTACGAGTGAAATTTCGCATTACGAGCAACTCGTGATGGTTGCCCCTCTTCTCCATTTCCACCTTTAGCGGCGGGATGAGGGCATATTTTTATATTAAATATTATTTTATTTATCGATTGTTATTAATCATTATAATATAAGTACAGTATATATATTTAATACATACTATAATTGGAAAGAAGGATTCATTATCGCCGCAACTCTTTTTTATTATTAACGCGATTAAGGAAGCTTTCGGGCAAGCCCTTCTTCAGCTAATAAAAAAGAGTTGCGGCGATTATATGAATCCTTCTTTCTAATTTGTCGAAATCCGCAAACCGTTTACCATGACATACTATAATGTATATATTCAAATCGATACTTATATATATATTAAAAAACGAAATAAAAAAATAAAAGATAAAAGATCAGGTGGTTGAAATCAATATAAAAAATGGCATATCCTGACCAGGAGCACATGTGCTTTACAGAAGGCAGAGCGCCATCTGGTGGAACAGAAATCAACTAAACATTGATTTAGCCTGTTCCCTGATATTTGGCCAACCCAATTTCTTGATAAATCAAGAAAAGCCATCCACGAACGCGTTTCGCGCTTTTTGGCGCTCGTCAGCGTGGAATAGGCTGAACCATTGAGACCAAAAAAGATTTTTTGATCCCAATGGCTTCCCGAAAAACCAAGAAATGGGTATTTAAGGCCAAACTTGCGTAAATACGCTTAGCACATTAAAAAACGAAATAAAAAAAATAAAAGATAAAAAGATCAGGTGTTGAAATCAATATAAAAAATGGCATATCCTGACCAGGAGCACATGTGCTTTACAGAAGGCAGAGCGCCATCTGGTGGAACAGAAATCAACTAAACATTGATTTAGCCTGTTCCCTGATATTTGGCCAACCCAATTTCTTGATAAATCAAGAAAAGCCATCCACGAGAAATTGGGTTGGCCAAATATCAGGGAACAGGCTAAATCAATGTTTAGTTGATTTCTGTTCCACCAGATGGCGCTCTGCCTTCTGTAAAGCACATGTGCTCCTGGTCAGGATATGCCATTTTTTATATTGATTTCAACACCTGATCTTTTATCTTTTATTTTTTTATTTCGTTTTTTAATGTGCTAAGCGTATTTACGCAAGTTTGGCCTTAAATACCCATTTCTTGGTTTTTCGGGAAGCCATTGGGATCAAAAAAATCTTTTTGGTCTCAGTGGTTCAGCCTATTCCACGCTGACGAGCGCCAAAAAGCGCGAAACGCGTTCGTGATGGCTTTTCTTGATTTATCAAGAAATTGGGTGGCCAAATATCAGGGAACAGCTAAATCAATGTTTAGTTGATTTCTGTTCCACCAGATGGCGCTCTGCCTTCTGTAAAGCACATGTGCTCCTGGTCAGGATATGCCATTTATATATATATATATATATATATATACATGTATATAGTATTTTAAAATTAAAGAAAACTTTTTTAATTTTTAAGATAACTTTTTCCATTTGTAAACAAAGGCTCGAAGGTGTTTATTAAAATTTAAAAAGTTGCTATTAAAATTTAAAAAAGTTGCTATTAAAGTTAAAAAGTTTTTCTTCAATCTTAAAATACGCTGTATATCATTTTGACTAATTTTAATTCAACGATAAAATTATATCTCAATGATAAAGGAATAGCTTTTTTTCAATTTCTTATTTATTTTTTAGATTATATATGTATTTTCAAAATTGGTGACAATTTCTACCTCTCTTGCTATAAAAATCCTATAACCACTGCAAAATGTGCCCGTGAAGAAAATATGTTGAAAGAGAATTGGGTAAGAATAAGCATATTATCACAATGGAGGCAAAGAGGGAAATGATTGAAAAGCACGAACGTGGCATGCGGGTGACAGAAATAGCGAGATTTTATAAGAAGTCGACATCAACGATTTGCACAATATTGAAGAAGAAAAAGGAATTAAGGGAGTTAGATGCAGGCAAAAGGAGTCACAAGACTATCAAAACAGAGTCTTACGTCTTCTAGAAGAAGTTGAAAAATTGATTCTTGTATGGATAAACGAGAAGCAATTAGCAGGTGATACCATAAACCAGAATTTAATAATGTGAAAAGGCAAAGGCCTTGTACGCCGAACTCGGGGAGTAAAATACCATGTACATCAATAGAGAACGAAGTACATGCAGACTTCAAAGCCAGCAAGGGGTGGTTCGAAAACTTTAAGAGGAGAAGTGGCATCCATAGTGTCACGAGGCATGGAGAGGGGTGCAAGTTCGGATGCTTTAAGCAGCTGAGACATTCACTGCCGAGTTCGAGAAGCTCGTTGTTACCGAGTGTTACCTCCCACAGCAAGTTTTTAACTGTGATGAAACAGGACTTTTTTGGAAAAAGATGCCGAAGAGAACCTACATTACAGCCGAAGCGAATACAATGCCCGGTCACAAGCCCATGAAAGACCGTCTCACCCTCTTGCTGTGTGCTAATGCAAGTGGAGATTTGAAAGTAAAGCCACTGCTCGTGTATCATTCTGAGAATCCACGGGTTTCAAGAAACACAAAGTGCAAAAGAGCCAATTGAACGTTTTGTGGAAGTCCAATACTAAGGCTTGGGTCACTCGTTTGTTGTTTGTTGAGTGGATGAACGAAGCATTCGGTCCTGCAGTGAAGAAATACCTTTCGGAAAAAAAAAACTGCCACTCAGAGCGTTGCTGGTTATGGACAATGCTCCCAGCTCATCCACCAAGCCTTAAGGATCACTTTTACTGGATGAATTCAAGTTTATTGAGGGCAGGTTCCTCCCTCCTAACACCACCCCACTTCTGCAGCCTATGGATCAGCAGGTCATTTCCAACTTTAAGAAAATATATATCAAATAACTTTTCAGAGATGCTTCGAATTAACTGAAGAAACAAACCTTACTCTCCGAGAGTTTTGGCAGAATCATTTCAACATTGTCCACTGCCTTAAGATCATTGATAAAGCATGGAATGGAGTCTCCCAGAGAACTCTCGTTTCTGCTTGGACAAAATTGTGGCCTCACATCGTCCATGCATATGATTTTAAGGGGTTGTCTGGTGAACAAACAGGAGCCACCAATTATCGATGTTATTGTGTCTCTGGGGAAAACTTTAGGACTGGAGGTGAATGAGCCAATCATTCAAGAGCTTGTGGAGGAAGAAGATCAGGAGCTTACCACAAATGAACTGATCGATCTTCATCGCGAGCAACACCAAGAGGTTAAGGAGGTGATCTCGTCTGGGGAAGAGGAGGATGAAAATTCACTGGGATCCCTCCCTTCAGATCAGATTCGGGAAATATGTAAAATGTGGGAAACTGTGCAATTGTTCGTAGCAAAGCACCACCCGAATAAGCCGGCTGCTTTGCGAGCGACGGATCAGTTCAACGATAATGCGATGTCGCATTTCCGTGAAATTCTCAAAAAGAGGCAGAAGCAACAGTCATTGGACCAGTTCTTCGATAAAATTGAAAGAAAAAAAATAAAATGTTATAAAATAACCCTTTTATGCCATTTTTTCCTTCAAATAGTGGTTTTTTAACGCAATTGCATCAGCCATCCCGACATTATCTTTTATTTTTGTTTATTTTATCTTTTTTTATACATTTATTTATGCATTATCTTTTTATTTACTTATCACTAGGTTTGAAATTCAGTAACTATCACGTGTAAAATTTTTCTTTCGAATCTTTCATTAAAAATATGATAGCTATGATTTCAAATATTGAATGGAGCACAAGCTTCTCTTATACTTATCACGAAGTGTTCACCGACTCTAATTAAACTAAAATTCATGGAAGAATTACCCGAGTTTCAATTATTAAAAATAAGAAATTAGTTTCGCACTACGAGCGTTTGGAGTACGAGCATGGTTCTGGAACGGATTATGCTCGCAAACCGAGGGTCCACTGTACTTTATTTACATAACAAAGAAAAAATCCCAATCAAATTTAATAATGAAATAATCATACCAACCCTGAAGACCAAAATTTTAGGAATAATAATTGCAAATCACAGAAGAAAAAACAAAATAAATTTTACATACCACATAGAAGAAATAGTAAATCGTACAAAACGTTTTAAAAATTATCTCTTCTCAATTTGCGGAAAATCTTGGGGTCTAAGCACCCAGAAAAGGCTAACTTTATATAAATCCATTTTCAGACCAATACTTACATATGGAGCCGAAATTTGGTTCAAATATTTAAATAAAAAGTGTTTACAAAAATTAAATTCAACCCAATATCAAATACTATATGGTGTATACAAGCCTATAAATCCACATTATATAGCTGTGTTCATAGTTTGGCCAACATTCCTCTGATCTCAGACTTTATCGAATCCAGAATCATGATATCTGTGATCTGAGAAACTTATCCACAGATGATCAACAAATTTATGACCCATTTATTCCAGGAATTATAGATACCTTTCTCAAATCAAGAATGAATGTTCTGAAAAACGAAGCAAATAATACTTTCTTAAGCTTTTTTCCCCAAGAAATCCCTAAATACTTTCGTCCAAATTTTTATAATACTCAATTTGTTACAAACCACGGAAATTTCAAAAGTTTTCTAAATAGAATAAAGGCAGTGGAGGATCCAAGTTGCTTTTGTGGTATGGAGGAACAAACCTCAAGACATCTACTATTCGATTGCCCAGCCTTTCAAGACTATAGAATGAAGAATGAACTAGTTGTTTGTGAACTTAACGATTTGATTTCCGATAAAAAATCATATTTAAAGTTCAATTCTTTTTGTAAATACATTCTGAAATTTCTACAAAATCTGGATCTCTAATGTTTTCATGCGTTGAATAATGTAAATAACTTGTGTAAATAAACTTTTCTCCTTGTTTGGCGCAAGTATCCCTTGCGGGATATAGTGCTTTGGAAATAAAATAATTGTAATAAAAACATTTAATCGGGTAAAACTTGGGCGTTGCCCCGGGTCTTCGGTTAGTATTAAAAAAAAAAATAAAAACTACAGCACCCGGTGGTCACCCTCCCAAGTACTGACCGGGCCCGACATTGCTTAACTTCGGTGATCAGACGAGAACCGGTGTTTTCAATGTGGTGTGGCCGTAGGCACTAGGGTGACCTAATAAGTTGTATTTAAGCTTCAAGACACATGACATTTATATTAAAAACCTTTTGTGGGGATGTGCGAACAAAACCCAGAAGGTAAAAAAAAAAATTGTAGAAAGTATTAGTCTCCAAAACTAAAACAATTTGTTTGCCCAATGTAATTTTGTCCAGAAAAGGAGAAAAATGTGTTTAAATATTATTTAGTAGAGAAAAATCATTTCCCTATATATGTACACATTCTTCTCTCTATAATAGCCTCCTCAAGGGACAAAGCATTTTAAAGGGAGCGGTGCAACTTTTTGTACCTGGATATTATCCTCTTGTAACTTTATGATATATAGGTTTTTAACTTTTAATTATACAATTTAAATTTATATTTAGATATTTTCAATATTTATTTAGACATATTCCATTTAAATATAGACACATGGCCTTATTATAGAAAAGTCGATGTGTCTAAATTAAAATGAAAAATGTCTAAATATGATTTAAAATAGTCAAATTAAAAACCAATATATTTGGTAAAACACTTTATTAAGGCTTATGTCTGACGTGACTTTGTTATATATTTATTATTAAAAGTTTTGAAAATACAACACAGTATCAAAGACATATAGTGGAACTCCTTTATTTTTATAATGTCATAGTAGGTAAGTTTTACACGAAGAAAAACTTGAAATATATGAAGTTGTAAACAATACTTAAAGTTGCACCGCATAAGTTTCTTTTCTATGAAAAATCAATATTTTATTTCAAAGAGAAATATCTAGTATTTCTAACTTTTTTGAATGACGTATGAAAGGGTGGAAATATGAAGCGTAATGGTCTATATATAATTGGATGACGTATGAAAGAATGAAAATATGAAGAGTAATGGCGAACGGAAAAATAAAAGTGTCCAGGGGCGGGAATCGAACCCACAACCTTCTGCTTACCGGGCAGGTGCCATGTCCACTAGGCTGGTTAGAAATACTAGATATTTCTCTTTGAAATAAAATATTGATTTTTCATAAAAAAGAAACTTATGCGGTGCAACTTTAAGTATTGTTTATAATCATACGCCGCAGTCCTTTATAATATATGAAGTTGTGTCCACAGATTTGAAATGACTCAGTCAAAAAAAGTAAAGAAAAAAGAAAATGAGAGATATTTACTATAGTGTAGACCAAGCATGTCAAACTCAAATCCTAACACGGGCCAAATAAAAAAGTAATAAGATTATGTGGGCCGCAAAAAATACTTATGGCGATGTACATACGTTATGTATGTAGGTATAATATTATCAAAACTTACGACTTATGTATGGCGACCAGTGGTTCGTTATTAATAAATAAATTATGTATAATTACAATCTTTAAAAATTAGGCTACCAATTTTTATTATTATTTTTTCAATTTATAAAAAAAAAATTAATTAAAATATATTGTCTGGTGGGCCGCAAATTTATTCGTTGTGGGCCGCATGAGGCCCGCGAGTTTGACATGCTTGGTGTAGACTAAAAGTGATACTGCAGAGTCTCTTTTGAGAGACCCCCCTAAAACATTGCAGAACTTGTGAGAAAAAATATAATCTAATGTTCTTTTAATGTAATGATAATATATTTTATAGTGTATTCATAATATAAATATACCTTTTCATTTATTTCATAACTTTCTTCAAAGCTTGGTAATGATTCATCAATTATAATAATTTGTTCATCTCTATTGTATGCCTGTGTTTCAATTCAATTCTTGGCCAACTTTTCATGTGACTTTTTAAAACTCAGGATGCTTTAGGTCTGTTCATTGTTAAATTAAAAAATATATATTTTGTATATTATACTCTTACAAAAGTGATATGAATAATACTTATTAATATGGAAAAAATAATCTTTATCATAAATTTTAATGACAAAGTTGTTATTTTGTATTTTTTCCTCCATATTATTAATTTGAGAATGGCTAGAGAATGCAATACACTATTTTATACATATTCAATATTAAACAGGACTTTGTTCTTGTAGATGCAGTAGCCAACCTATGTGAAAGGTGAAGTGAAACAGCGGTGGCATGGGCGGGCGGGTAAGCTTTTGTTCATAAACTGATTAAAATAATCTCTCAAATCACGCATCTATTTTCCCTCACAACACGCCCAAAAAAAAAAAATCCAATTCACCATTCTAGGTATACCCACTAGCCATTGATATTTTAGCGCCTTTTTTTGTTAATCTAAAAAAAAATATTTTTTTTTTATCATAAGATGGGTAAAAAACCTTTGGCACTATTGTGAAGTAAAATGACACATATTTTTGCGTCATAAAACGCAGGTAGATATACCCACTACATATTTTGAATTTATTGGACTTATTTTTCCCTTGTCACTCATAATATTTAAATTATAACTATTCAATATTCCAGAATGGATCAAATTGTATATTATGAAATAAATTTTATTAATCATATATATCCATTTGTATTATATTGCGGTGCAAAAAAAAAAAAAAAAAATTCCCGCTGTCTCACTTTAAACTACATAGACCTATAATTTGATACCCATCTCTAGCCAGCTTTAATAAATTAGAGCTCTGCTCTCTGGAGGTCGGAGGGGGGCTCCGCTCCAGAGGTGGGTGTCAGGATGGAGGTGTTGATCTCCTGGGGGCGGGGAAGTTTTCTCTGCACGGCCTGGGACTGGCGCCGTCTCTCAGCCTGGAGGGCAGCCTTCTGCCTGGCATCCAGGTCAGCCTGGTCCTCCACCTGCTCCCCGGCTCTCCCTGCCCCACCCTCCTGCTCCTCCTCCTCCGGCAGCACTATCTCATAGTCATCCTTGGGCAGCTTGGAGCTGAGCATGGACCGCAGCTGGGACTTCTGGTCACCAGGACGGGCAGGGAAGTCCCCGAAGCTCGCCTGAATCCCAGGGTTGATGTTGAGTTTGTCACACAGTGGAGTGGCACCTTCCGGAATCTTCCCTCCAGGGGTCATGAGCGGGGTTCCTCCAGCCACACTGCCATGGGGGGTATGGAAGGGGGAGGCCAGCACCAGGTTGGGGGTCTGGACCATGTCCCTGCGGGGAGTGATGCCGGAGAAGTCAGGGTTGTGTAGGGGGGTGTTGACTCCTCCCTTGAGGGGGGTGTCAGTATGGGTGAGTGCCATCATGTCTTGGGCTCCAATCATGATGGGATCCTGGGTGAGAGCTGGGGTCCGAAAACCCGTGGGGGTGGGCAGGCTGTAGTCCGAGAGTAGACGATCCGTGGTCTTGTCGGAACCCTCCATCAACTCCCGGATGGTGTCGTTCACCTTGCCCAGCTTTGACACCTGCTCCAGCTCTGCATCCGACACTTGTGGGGCGGGGAGGACCAGCTTGCTGCGCTTTGTCAGAGGGGCAGCCAGATGTCCTGACAGCATGGATGGCATGTCATCTTCCTTCCTCTTCTTGAGCTTGGCCTTGTCCTTGTGCCGTTCCCGTTCTTCCCTTTCACTCCTAAGTTCTCCATCCATCGTCTGCTGCCTCAATCTTTTAAAGTCTGGTTCAGTTGGTTCGTATGTTTCTTCTGAAGTGTCATAAAATCCTGGCACAGGTTTTTTTGCAAATGGAATTTCTGCATTATAATCAACACCCATCTTCCTTTTTCTTCTGGGCTCCAATTCTATCCCAGCCATTCTTAATTCTCTACGCTTTTGTAGTGAAGCCAATCTTCTGGCTTCTTCCAACTGCTTTTCCCTAGCTTTGCGCTTAGCCTTCTTACCCTGAGTATTTGCAAATCTAGCACGGGCCTCTGATAACATCTCCAGTTCATCTTCATCCATATCCTTTGGATCTGGTCGAGCAGGCTTTGTCTCTGGATTAGGATCAATTTCACCAGGCTTAAGTTTACGAGGATCATCAAAATCGGATTGCGTTCCATCTGCTTCTTTACGCTGTGCTTGATCAAGAAGATATTCATAATGTTCTAAACATTGTGCAGCAGTTCTGCCAATAATTGGAGCAATCGTTCTCCATTGGGTTGGCATTAATTTTGCTAAATGCAATAGTTTTTCTTCTTCTTCTCTTGTCCATTCTGTTTTCTTTATACTAGGATCAAGCCACTCATACCACCTTGCTTTACATTGTTTTGCCGACTTGCGATGTAATAGAGACGCAATACGTGACCATTGGTTTTTACCATATTTCATGACAGACGCTTTAAGAATTTCATCTTCAGTGTTTCTCCAAACACCACCCTTAATTAAAATTCGTGGCATTTTGAAAATATATTTGTTTTAACCTGAATAATAACTTTTATCCTAAAACTATATTTATTTTTTGATTATATTTCAAAAGCAAACAGTTTTTTTTTTTTTGCATACATAAACAACTATGTTATTTTTTTTATTTAAGTAACCCAGGTTCCTGGAGTGTACAGAAGTGACTATGTTATTATTATTAAAGAAAGGCAAATTAGGTTATATTCCTTTTGTTTAGGATTTCTTTACATTTTAAAAATTAACTCTGTGTTTAGTTTTTACTTTGATTATTTAAATTATAATTTTAGTTATATTATGAAAACAATTTAATAAATATAATGGTTATGATTATAAAATTTTAATTATATTAATGAATAATAAAAATCTTATTTTTATTATGTCATATATACTATTAAATTCTAAAAAAAAAATGAATTGTTTGAGCTTGAAAGTAGAGAAATGATGATCTTCAAAAATTATTAAATTGTTTTAAAAAACAACACAAAAATATATATAAATTCTAAATTTATTGGACATATTTTTCCCTTGTCACTCATAATATTTAAATTATAACTATTCAATATTTTCCAGAATGGATCAAATTGTATATTATGAAATATATTTTATTAATCATACATATCCACTAGCGGAATTGTACCCGGCTTCGCCCAGGTTTTATCCGAGTGAAAGTTTGCCTAACGAATATTATTGATAATAATTTTCCGGAACACACAGAATATTATATTAAAAATGGCATATCCTGACCAGGAGCACATGTGCTTTACAGAATATTATGATA